TTTTTTTTTTTGTATCTGGTCTCAACCATAGACCAGGGGGGTCCGGCGTTTTGGGAACGCCGGACCCCCATGAGCAAAAAATTCCGACCGGATTTTGGCAAAAAAAGTCAGTTTTGATTTCGTTCAAAAATATAATATGTCCATTTTGACGAAATGGCTGTTGTATGCTCGCTGTCGGTATGGCAGTGGTACTATTTTCGTACAGTTCAACATTGTTTTCTTGTAGTTGGATGACTTTTTCATGTGTGGACTTTGTCACCTGAGTCTCTTGTCGTGCAGTGGAACAATTCGTGTTGCGCTCTATGATTTCTATTGCAAGTGAAACGCACAGGGCACTGACATCGAAAGTTCGGATATCGGCGGACTACAGCCTCTTCGCCCCCCCGGCAACAATCTTATGTAGGTTGTGGTACATAAGATTGTTGTCGGGGGGGGGCGAAGAGGCTGTACTCCGCCGGCATCCAAACTTTCGATGTTGGTGCCTTGTGCGATTCACTTCCTCTGTATGTTGTGTGTGGAAAGTAAGGCGTGAAATTGGATTGCTGCCTCTTGCTTGGCACAACGGTTTGCAATTTTGCTATTTGAAGGCATCTATGTTCTCGCGTGTCTTCTAGCCCTTAAATGACGGTCTCTCACTCTCTTTTCGTGCAGTGGAACAACTCGTGTTACGCTCTATGATTATTAATGCATGTATGACAGCCTACATAAGACTCTTGTCGGGGGCGGGGGCGAAGAGGCTGTAGTCCGCCGATATCCGAAATTCCAATGACGGTGCTCGTTCGTTTTCACCTGCACTCGTCTTGTTCTGCTTTTGCACGGCTCTTAGAATTAGTCCACTTCTGAATTTTTTTTGGGGGTGCATGGAAGTTTTAGACACAGTCGCGAGCGTGAGATTCATCTTGCATTTCCATGTGCCATCCGCGGTGCTGCTTGCGTTTCCGCGTGCTGTGAGTCGCCCCTGCGCCATCACGTAACGGCCTCGCTGGGAGTAACTCTATGGGGGCACTGGTTTCTCTGAATTCACCGCAGTGGTCGCCTGCTGTCCAACTGCCTGTTCCGCCCCACTGCTCGGGTGCACCCATAACGTTTTCCTGTTGGTTATTCCGCTGCGAGCGCGCGCCTGGCCTATATAGGCATGGGCGTGAGCTTACACTACATCATTCACAAGCCATGTGTAAGAAACGTAAGGTTGGGGGTTCAAATCCCTATTTCCGCTCGTACCACCGCAACGCGGCGCACTATGTGGCACCCATAAGACCAGTGTCCGACATGAAGTCGGCCTGGATTAAGGTGGTCGGCCTCGATGCGGGCCGGCACACTATGTGGCACCCATAAGAGCAGCACGGGATTGGGGGAAGGCTCAATCCCGGAGCAGTAAGCGCGGTAGTTCCCTTCTTCCCTTCCTCAACTCTGCCCACCGGAACTTTCGACGTTCCAACATTCAAACACAACAAGGAGTCGACTTCATTGTGTTGCTGTGATTATCCATCAGCGGGGGTCGCAGGTTGTGCTGCTCAAGGCACCTTGCTCATCACAATCAAGGCACCTTGCTCATCACGATCAGAAATAAGTATGGATCTCAGCACACTTATCNTCGCAGGTTGTGCTGCTCAAGGCACCTTGCTCATCACAATCAAGGCACCTTGCTCATCACGATCAGAAATAAGTATGGATCTCAGCACACTTATCAAACTTCTCCGACAAGGATACAATCAAGGCGCCTTGCTCATCACAATCGAAAATAACACTTAGTATGGATCTCAACACACTTATCAAACTTCTCCGATAAGGACACAATCAAGGCGCCTTGCTCATCGGAATTATACATAAGTATGGATCTCAGCACACTTCCGCATATGGGGCGAGTGGATGGGTGAGTGGATGGGTATGCCTAGGTTGCTTAGGCTGCAGCTGAAACTGAATTCGTTCAAAAGAGGACACAATATAATGTCCTATTTTAACGAATAACGTATTGGTGGAAAGACCGACAATACTTTTTGGACTGAATTTGTATTTCTCTCTCTTTTCGCGCCGAACTCTCGCGCGCGTTTTACGACGCGCAAAAAATCAATCGACTTACTTCATCAGACCAACACAGGGGATTTCAGTTCCGTCTGTGTCCCCACACTCAATTTCCAAAAATCCTTAGCACACCCCATCTTGCTGTTTTTCTGGGCCTCTTTTCCGCATCTAAAGCACTCCGAACGAAATACAGCATAGGGCGTGAGGTTGGTATCGGAGCCGACACGTGTCGAGTCTGATTATAGCAAGTGGAACTGGCGAGAGGTAGAAGAAGCCCTCAACCAGCTCGAAGAGACCGCCCAGTGACCAGGTCTCGATCTGCTGCGGTTGTACCCGCCATGCCGATGGCAGACGGTACTAGGGTGATTGTTAGCATTCCTGCCTCCTTCCCCTTCTTCCCTAACCATACCCACCCCGAAGCTTGGTTGGAAGTCGTCGAAGCTCAAGGATACAGCGCGGGAGATCTTCCCTGCGTTCTTACCTTCCTACTTCGCAATACATCGTATGACTGGTTCAGAAAGCACACGTGGGTAGATTGGAATACTTTCAAACAAGCGTTTTTGGCCAGATTCGATACGGTCAGTGAAGATGCCGCCTGGTACGTACTCAAAAATCGTCCGCAAGACCAGGGGAATTGTTGTCTGATTTCGTGGATCGATTTCAAACCACGTTGAATAAATCTGGGCGAGATGAGAAATCCGCTTGAGATTTGTTCATCGATCATCTACGAAGTCCGACGTTGAAAGGGAAATTACAGAAAAAGGTTCCCCGAAAACTCACCAGCTGTCGGCTATCATCGCTAAAGTTGTCGAGTTAGACCTGGCCGATACAAAGAAATATATCAGTCAGGGAGACGAAGACATCACAGATATGCTATAGGATGTAGCAGCTAAAAGACGATCGTGATTACGGGCGGTAGAACGGTTTTA